ATGCTCTGGGGCGTATGCTATGCTTCCCCGAAGCTAGGTGACGCAAAGTTTCCTTTAAATTTATTTGCTTTGAACGATGTAGTTTCTCATTTTCAATGCATGTTTACTTTAACCTACATACATACATTAATGTAGGCCTTTTATCAGGGTAATCCCAGTTGGGAAGACAGAGAAAATTTAAAGGGATTTTCGTCCCCTAACCCTTCGGGGAAGCATAGCATACGGCCCCTTAATGGAGGGTGAGGTATGATTTCTTATGTCACTAGGATTTTCGGCTTTAGCATTCCCTTTTTTCATTGCTCAACATTTGGTCCCTGAGGCGAAGCGATAACCGAAATATTAGACCAACAAAGATTCGTTGCAAAAAGTCTTATTGTCGGCAAATTTTGTCGAAATAGTTTTTTTCTTAATTCCACCAAATTCCTCCGTATTTATCAATGAATTTTCTCCACCCATTACCTTTGAAAATGCAAAGAAGTTTCTCCTAACACGAATTTCTGTACTTTCTTGTCCAAAGACTGATAGTTGTCATCCCAAGAGACTTCGAACCATTGCAATAGAAGACATTAAGACGTCAATTATAGGTGTGGAGAGTTATCCTGCAACAAACGTTGCCGATATACAGTGACCAAGCTCATTCTATAACATGTGACCTTGGAGAAGAGATTTCTGTTGAATCCTCCATCAGACATGAATCTGATGTGGTGGGATTATCTTACAAGTTAGTCGACTGTAGGAATGAAGAATATTGTGGTATGTTGTATATTCTTCTCTTCTTATGTTTTCCGTCTTCAGTTGTTCATTTAATATTGACATACTGATAGTTATGATCATCTCCTAAAGGCGTCTTCAGATCCCAATTTTGTCTGTGGGCTTCGCAAGCCATTTTTTGTATCACGGCATGTAGTATGCATAGAAAGCCTCATCGATAGGTTTATGAGCGTCTACATACGTACATCAAGCTTCTTCAAAGGTTCTGTTTATCGAGGCAGTCGAGACTATGAAGTACGTTTGCTATTTCAACGTTTCGAACCTATCGGACCACTTTTTACTCTTAAAAACGATAACCTATTTCTTATTCTTTTCCATTCTTTTAATTAAGACTGACGTCAGTCGTGTGGACAACGACGGAATCTGCACTTTGGTTATACTGTGTGTCTCAGAACTCCAAGTTCCGGTAGGGGACGGTGAAGCGACTCGCAACTCTTTCTACCTTTTCCAAGTTCAAGTCCTTTGGTGAGACGTCGTGCTTATTAGCTTTTCATTTTCATTGGTCTCTGGACGTATTTTTTGTTTCTCATGTTGCTAGGTCATTAGCGGACTACAGCGTAAAGCCTCTACCGTTGTAATGTGGGAATGATGTTAGAAAGGCAGAAGGAACAATGCCGTTTCTTAACCTGAGCGGCGCACCATAACCTTTCATACCAACGCTAGGGTTTTTTTCTCAAAGGGTGTCGGAGACTGAAATCTGCGCAGAATTTAAGTGTCCTACTCGAGAGAGCTGGAGATTGGGCAGAACGAAACGACACGAATTAAATCGGCTCAACCTTGTTTGAAACCTGTAGAGCGCTGAGGGGACTGAGCACGATAAGCTTGTAGCCGGCCGATCCGCAATATTCGGTTACAAGAATTCTGCGTTTCTATCCACTGGCTTTTGTTAGTTTATGATCACGTCAAGCCGGCGATGAAATCCGAAGTTGGGTCGGTTATAATCAGCCGTTTAGGTTGGCAGGTAGCTCGCATCGTTGTAGGCAATTGCTGTATTTTGGGAAAGTGGCCGTAATATCGGTACGAAAAGAATCAGAAGTAACAAGAAGAATGTTTCTCGCCGGCTCATTCCTCTCAAGGTGTTAGGAATTATATTCATAACAAAGTGTATTCAGTCTTCTTGGAGCCTGTTATATTGATGGCTTTTGGTCTGTTCATGATTTTTGTTCTTTTTTGTGAATTTCGGTTCGAATTGGATAGCTTGAGACTGCCTGCATTTCTCGTGGCAGCATGTCGTATCAGACTTGGTAGGAACTGAAGAGCAGGGGGATAAACAGTGATGTGGTGTTGGTTCTTATGAGGCCTTTGCCATTGAGAGATTCTGCCACTAAACATCCTGTTGTCAATATGATCAATTCTATGGCGCAATCACCTGGTGTATAGGCTGTAGATTCGCAATTACACTTACCAGTCTACACCTTCCTTGTGCGAGAGATTTCTCGTCAAAATTGTTTGCCAATTGAATGTCATCAACTCATTGCTTGCAGGAGTATCTTCCAAGGTTGGAAAGTTGGTGGCAAATGTCGGATAATCAAAGAGTTGAAACCGGAGGTCGCTTTCAATCCTAGTTCATGGTATCCTTATGCACGTTCCTGTTTGAGAAGCCGACTATATATTATATACCCAATACGAAAGTTGTTCTCGGTACGTTACTTTTTGAACTAAATTGAATCCTTCGATATCAGTGAAAAGTAGCACAAGATTCTTGCAATCACCCTATACACTTTTTCTTTTTACAATTGAGGTTTACTCGTTTTGTGGCGCTTACTACTATACTGTTCCACAATAAGAAGAGAAAAGGTAGCGTCCTTGTGCCAGTCCTTGGCAAAGCTCAACTGAGCGGGCCAGCCACGCGGAAGCTTTGCACAGTTTTTTTTTGCGTAATCTTCTCCTTCATTATTGAGGTGATCAGGTATGGCGTATTCTTTCGAAAATCTTCTTTGGAAGTAATCTTAGTGCAGGAATCTTGTGGGGTTGTGTATCAGAGGTTATCCTTCTTTGTTGAAGTTAAAAGTGAATTTTTTGGACAAAGTATTTTATTTTTGTATTTGTTGAGGTTTTTGTAGATATTTCATTACAACTACTTCTGAGGTTATGTAAAACAGTTTAATCCTTTTCCTAGCTAAAGCGTGACGTCATTAGGTTGTTGATGTTGATGAATTTATTGTGTTTAGGGAGAGATTCAGGACGTATTACCTCAGAAAACAAAGCCATAGAAGTGATATTGGATCTGGATCGGCTGTAACAGATTTTGTAGATACTATTCTCGTGTGGCACTTTTCACCGGTTTTCATTGTGCATCTATGTGTGCTTTGCGTTGTTTTTTTTTCTTGAGATTAGTTTATTTTATCTTTTCCATCCTCTTCTTTTTTTCCCCGGGATGATGTAAGGAACTCAAAATTTGATCTCAGGTGCTCTTTTCATTGTTTACTTTTTTCATTCTTTTCCGTAATTTGTGAGACTCACTAAGAGTGTTCTCGGTAGGAATACCTCAGCAAAGCTTGCACTGTCAAATGTGGATCTGTAAATTGTTTGTTTGTTTTTTTTGTTTTGTCTGGTTTGTAAACAGGACAAGAAACGTGTAAATCTTTCGTTTTTAATAGGTGCGATGACGCTGTACGCAAGGCAACATCCAGCTGCTTGCCAGCTATTTTTAATTATGTGATTTGGATGCATGCCATTAGGAACACTAGATTAGTTCTTTTCAGGTTGTTGACTTGTTGATAACGCCTAGCTTTCAATCATTGCATAATCGGCTAGAAGGAAGTCAGCAAGCCGGTCAGCAGCTGATGAGCGGAAAGA